GATGAATTCAGCAGGTTGTGAACAGCGAACTAGCGGACGTATCATCGTTATAACAAGCACACATGCAGATGGTGCCGAGGACGACGGGGCCAAGGCCGTGGATTGGGGCCGCCGCCCGTCAGTACCACCTGAGATCACCTGGAGATGCAGAAAGTCGAACGTGCTACCAAGACGTGCTACCGAGGCGGAGGAGGCCGTCTTCGTGCCTGCCGCGGACAAGGTTCTGCCGCCCGCCCAGCACCACATGAGAGCACCTGCAGATGCAGAGAAATCGAACGTGCTACCCTGACGTGCTTCCGAGGCGGAGGATGCCGTCTTCCTACCTGCTGTAGACAAGGTCACCCAACAGGCTGGCCTGACGCCTGGCACGGGCCGAAGCCGGGGGCGGCAGCGGGTGACCAACCCGAACCCATTTTGGGCCACTTGTACATGAACGCCTGATGTATGCTGCTTAGGCCACCCGCCACACACCCCCTGTCAGCTTGGCCTACTTCAGGAGCTGCAGTGAGGTGCTCCACACCTTCCGCCGGGCTGTCTTGTTGGCGGCGCGGGATCGCGCATAAAGTCGTTCGACCTCACGCCCGCAGCTACACGAGGCCAGCTACGCGACCGCCAATGGCCTGACGTTTCTTGTTCATCACTACTAGTCGCGGGTGAAGCAAAAGCACAGTCCCAATATCCCTGGCCGGTATCTGCTCGGCAGCGAGGGAAGTCCAATGATGGGGAGATGCATGTGCAGCGTCGAGGCCAAGGCCGTGGGGCCGCCACCCGCCCACCACCACCACCTCCGAGCACCCGCAGATGCGGGGCAGCTGAACGTGCTACCATGACGTGCTACCGAGGCGGAGGATGCCGTCTTCCTGCCTGCCGCGGACAAGGTCCTGCCGCCCGTCAGCGCCACCTGAGAGCACCCGCAGATGCGGGGAAGTCGAACGTGCTACCCAGACGTGCTACCGCAGGCGGAGGAGCCCGTCTTCCTGCCTGCCGTGGACAAGGTCCTGCCGCCCGTCAGCACCACCTAAGAGCACCCGCCGATGCGGGGCAGTTGAACGTGCTACCATGACGTGCTACCGAGGCGGACATGGCCTTCTCCTTCCCTGCCGCAGT